ACTATCAGAAAATCAACACGTCTGTGCTACAAATAGCGTCAAGACGAGAAGATTTGCCTCATCATCAACGACACCCGCTACCATCATCTGGAGTCGCTCACAGAAAACAACAAGCAAATCAACGCAAGGACCTACAGGTTTATCATGATTTAATAGGCGGAGAACAACCACATGCGAGTGGATTTCCGGTGCTCAATGTTGGTCAAACCCAGAGCAAAGTGTCGATTATCCACTGGAGACACTGACCACCCCCCAAAATGACACATTGGGACCGTTAGAGCTGCCTCAGGGAGCAAGAAAACTTGACCGAGACTTACATGAGAAAAGGATACTAAAACAAAACTAGCAAAGAGGCCCCTAAGCTTAAGCTAGAGCTGCTTAGATATTTTAATAGCTTAGGAAAGAGGTTATAAGTTTCTTAGAGCCATTAATCCATTCGATATTGCGAGGCATGAAGTCCCAGAGTCGGGTTTATTAGTAACCCTAAGCGATAAAAATGTTTAGGTAAATCTAGCCTATGCTTAGGGGGCTCTTTGCTAAGTTTATTTTGGTATCCTCTTTTTAGACCTTGAGATTTCTTGCTCCCTGAGGCTACCTTACTCCGTAATAAGCCCCATACTTCCGCGGATTCGTTCCTAGCTTGGCGCCGTACGCAGGGTCGGTATTACTATTTCGCAACATTCTCGCTTCTGGAAGGCCAGAAGGCATGCCGAACCCCAGCACATGCAAAAGCCCCCAGATCACCGTGACCGCATGCGCGTTTCTCCAAACTCGATATCTTAGCCCGCCGTGATGTTTGTACCATTTCCTAAGGCGGTTGCTGGCCAAGCTCGACCCCGGCCGCTGGGATGCCTCAATATACATGCATGTGTGTATGTTTTGAGGCGTGAAGGTCTGCCTATTCAGCCACAGCTGTACTCACACGACAGTAATAGCAAAACCTCACCAGGCTGGTAAGGGTTTTTAGGTCGACCCAGGAAGGTGAATCGTTGCCGTGAAGAGGATCTTAGTTACAGCCGTAGAAAAGCACGATAGATATTTCGTAAAGGCGCTCTCCTTCAAGTCTACGCAGTAATGGCCTATGACCTCATCACACTACTAACGCAAGCGGTTGTCGCGCTGGGGTGAACTCCCGGTAATAGCGAGGTGTCCCGGCCACAAGTCGGCAGCTAGGGCGCGAAACCTTGCAGACATAGCCGTTTTATCCCTCGTCTCCAGGACTTCCAGCCGGGATTTCAATCGAACTCTGTGCCTGGAGTACTGACTTCTCAATCCAAAGAGTACCAGCTCACAATCCTGCCTGTGAACAAACCATATCGGACATGAGAAAGAGAACTGATGAGATGTCCATCGAGAGAGTTTCGAGGCTTGTAGTGGCACTTATCCGTATGTTTTCAGTGGTCAGCCATGGGATGTCGACTCTCCACTTTCCGCGCCAAGCCGGCAGACCAGGGCTCTCTCATGATGCTGGTTGACCCATGCCATGAAGTAGCAAACCCATGTTGTGTTATTCAGAGTCGTTAGAAGTTCAACAGGATGAGACTTTGTTCGAGGATGGCGATAAATATTGATCGTGGGCCCTGGTGTTAACAAACTCTTTCATCTCAAGGTGTTCTCCGAGGCGTTGGTTATTGAATGACAGTCGCTCGCAAGTTCGTATGTAGATAGCACCGGAAACAAAGGATGCATTTTTCTTCCCGGCATTGAAACTGGGTCAATAAGGCTTGATTTCAGACTCGGTTGCTGGATCCTTGCATGTCAGGTCAAGCAAAGCTTTTAGCTTGCACAGTGTCGCATATTTGTGGAGATTCGGGGAAAAGATGTGGAGAGCTGTTTTTTGGAGGATCTTCCCTTCGGATGGAACCTAGCAGGTCCAGGTAACGAGGTGAAAATGAGAGTGAATGAGAAGTCCTTGTAGAGCGGCGGCGTGCCCGGGGCCGCCATCCGTTCGGAGCCTGTTAAGAGCGTACTTCTCACTATCATCACAAGAAGAAACAAGGCCTGAAGCCCATTCTAAGGGCAATAGGTGCATATTTGGAAGCTTGGCGATGGCTCATGCAATCCCTTTAAAGACGAGGAGGCAGCTTTGATGTACCAAGCCGGAAGAGTTAATCCGGTGGCCTTCTCTTACACCGTATTGATGACTAAGAGGCTTTCACTAGATCTAATTGGATACAGGTATCTCATGATCTCATCGGTACGCCAAAGCTCCCTCCTCGTCTTTAAAGGGATAGGTATCATGAAGACAACAGCCTGCGCTAAGCTTTTGCGCATTTGTTTGATTGGCTACTCAAGAGCTGCCGAGACACAGATGCTGATCAAGTTGGCAAGGCCTCATCTCCCATAACTCATGTAATTAAACAGAGGCTGCAAATAAGAAAAACAACAACGTAGAAGGATAACCCGATCCTTTACGAGAACCGACCAGGAACGGCACGAGGCTGGATACTGGATTTGTCGTCATTTCGCCGTTCGGGGACTTCGCGCAATCTCTCATGCATGATAGTACCCCTACCACAGAGATGGGCTTGCTGTGATGGATGGAGGCGGTACCCGTTTAAATCGATTCCGTTGCAGCCGAAGGGACGGAGTTGACAGCCTTCCACGGGCAATCGCCTACCTATATTGGAGAAGTAAATTCGCGCAAGTCCTTGCTTGAAAAGCAGCACTGTACCGTGTGTAATAGACTGTGATATTCAAGACCTTGAGCTCTGCTTGCTGCAGGCATTTTGGCTTGCTCCCTCGTGAGCCGTGGAACCCATTAATAGATGGATGCAAGTGGTATAGAGCCTCGACCTCCCCACATGGGTGATTGACAATCTCACCGCACCGTTTCTTCAGTTGCCGTGTTCCGAGTTACGCATTGGTCAAGGCGAGCTGTTTACTTGTTGGTGTGTTCCAGCAATTTTCTCTCTCTTTTCCCGCGGCATTGTTGAGCAGGACACAGTACAGACTCATCGTGTATCTCCGCTCGTACCTTGCACCGGGACTAGCGTACCTGTATGGGCGGCCCGTTCGTGGAGAGCGGAATTGACCAGTACGAGCCTCGGGTCTTTGCAATCTGGTTACATGGAGGCTACCTTGGAATGAGGTATGGGTTGTGTCGATTCAGAAAAAAAAGTCAATTGAGTGAGCGATTATTGATTGCTGTAGCCATTCAATTAGAATTCGTAGCTGTAGCAGAGAAAGAGGTGCCTGGAATATCCCCCGCTGTACTGTAAGTTGGGAAGTTGCGACTTCAGCTCCGTTACCTGGCCCTTGCCATTATCTACGGGCACTCGCGTCGTCATAGGTGTACCTACCTCACCCTTTGTCACCATCAGCAAAGCTTCACAAAGGCAGATTGAAACATCTCGTCTTTCATCTGCTAATTTTCTCTTGTCCACCCCAGCATCGTCCTAGGTACGACTACCTATATAGTCCTCTTCGCACTTCAAAAACTCCCTTCTTTCGGCCACTCAGACACACCCATATCAGCAAATTCCAATCGATCTACATCCTTGTCAGTGACAATCGCTCTGTTTTTGTTTTGTTCCTAGCAGACAGAGCCTGTCGTCTTTGTAAGTCCCACTTTGTAACGCAGCCCCAGTCTGGTTTTCACTCCCCCTGGTCTCTGGATTGGAGTGTATTATCATCACCACCTCCATGGAAATCCACCTCATCCGGGGCACTCGGGGGGAGGCGCCAAATCATGTACTGTACTAGGACTTCGGTAGCATTGTACAGTGCACAAAAAGCCTCAGATTTTCGAGATAGGATAGGTACCTGATGGGCATCACCTGGCGCCTCCTCGAAGCCTGGCTTCCGTCACACCACACCTCACTGTTGTCCCCCGATGGGATGCTCACCCCCCTTGGGGCTTGTATCCACTAACATCATGGACCCAAGCAACCACTGAAAGACACCCTGCCTAGCCTGCTCGCTCGCCTTGACCTCTCTTCGCTGGTGTTGCCCGGGATCTGGACCCATTTTACGTACAGAATCCTTTTACTCGTTTTGTACAAAGTCTGATTCCTCGCGGGTCGTGACGCTGTTTCCCCACTTTTCACAGCTCTTGGGTGACTTTTGGTGTCAGATAGCTGATCAACAAAACCACAGAAGAGCCCGCCTTCGCGACCAGATACCTTTGCTGCTTCTTCATCACCCTTCAAGATCACAAAGGTAGGTCAATTCCTTACTCACAGTCACGCTGCCCTTCTTTTGCTCTTCTCGTCCGCCTCCGGGCCCATTGTTCGCTCGATAGTCAAGCCAATTCCTGTGTAATGGCCGTCTACTCAGTTCTGGAGTCATGCACGTCGTCGCAATCCTAGCGCAAATGCCGGCGTCAGTGTCTTCAGTGACGCCTGCCAAGAATTCCGTCAGAACATTTCCTGGATGAATCACTCTGGTCTCGCTCCTATGCAGCTCAATTGAACGACATCGCCGCCTTAACCCTTTTGAATTGGTGCGACATTGTCACTCAGTGGAAGAGGACGAGAAATTGCGAAGCGTGGAATGTCATGTCTGCTTATGGCCACTTTATGGCGGCGCGGAGTCAAGGAAAACTCGGTTGCTAACATGTCTTCTCTAGCAATCTCTCCACTCCAGACACAATGGCCGCCATCAAGTCTCTCATGACCCGCGACGAGGTCGTTCACCAGCTTGTCAAGCGTAAAAACTGGGCCGCCAGGGAGCCTGGTGTTATTGTCGTCTTTTGCATTGTTGGTGTTGGTATGTCATGTCTTCTACCTAAGATATCTGGTAACAATACTAAATTTATGGATAGTCGCTCTTGGCCTTCTCAGCCTCTTCCTCTACAGGAAGGCCATTGCTCGCAAGGCCAACAAGGCCTCTACCGTCTAAGCCGTTTGATGCGGATGAGGCCGACGTTAAGGAGAGTGGAGCGTGACCTGAGGCATAGTCATGAGCGTCTTTGGACTATGAGCTTCAGGTAGACGTGGTGTTCCGACGAGGTACCTTCTGCGACACATCGGGTGACCGACTGTGACCCCGTATTCCAGTTAACTGTTGCGGCTACGTCCCTCACCAATTCCTCGCTTGTCAACTGCCAATGCAATCTGTAATGGACAGCAGAGTTGACTGGCAAATCTTTTGTACATACCTACATACCACCGGATCTCGTGGGACAAATGTGCTGGAGGGCGGGTTCTCGTCGAGTGTTCGCGGCAAGGTGGCTGTATTCTATCTTCTAATGCTACTGATACCTACTCGTTTGAAGCAATCAATAATCATCTACTCGAAATCTAGTTCCAAAAACATACCCCAGCCTCGTGAAACACCTAACCTGAAGTGGCGCCCATTGATTTCATGTCTTTTATGTCAGTTGCTTTTACCTGTGTATCTCATCTCTTAGATTTCAGGAACGGGTGTCGTAGAATGCTCATGCATGCCATGACGGAGACCAGATGACCGTATCAGTAACCTTCTTTAGCTAGCATGTCTGCTATGTCAAGATAGAATGCAATAGCATTGAAATTCTTCTTGATCCCCATCCATTCCCGGACTGTCCAACCAACACGATTGGACCAGTTTATCAGATCCAAGTGGCTCACTCCAAGGAGCGTGCCTTTGTATGTGCCCCAGTGGCTGCTCTCCACACTGACAAGCCCATCGTTGGGTCCCTCGGCCTGTGTCATGACGGCGTGCGGATGCCGAAATGGACTCAGCAGTGCCGGCCGCTCCACTGCTGCTCCGTACGAAAAGTACCGCACATCTGGCTGATCCGGCGTGTTCGGATTGAACTCTTCAGCCATGTAGCGTCTCGTCAACTGCGAGAACGCTGCCGTACCGAGACCAGCTTTTTCAAATGTCTGATAAAGTTGAGGCAAGTAATGGTGCAGTGGTGAGACTTCTTCATCAAGGAGGTAGTCTGCAAATGCGCTTCCTCGGTGCGGCGTTGCAACGGTAACCACAGCCGCAACGCGAAATGGGAGCGGAGCGAGGTGCGAAAGCATATATCGGGCATCAAGACCACCCATGCTGTGTGCGACAATTGTAACGGCTTCGGGCATTGGAGCGTGGGCTTCAAGGGCGGAGCGGAGAGCAGTAGCGCGGTCGGCAATAGAGGATGATGGAGGCACAGTAGGCGTTAAGACGGTGGCGCCTTGCGCAGTGAGGGCATCGCGAATGCCATGCCAGTATTCGACAGCTGGAAAGTATGGAGAGAGACGGAGTTCAGCGAAGCCAAAGAGGCCGTGGGCGAGGACGATGGGATACTTTGGAGTCTCTATCACCAAAAGCATCAGCAAGATAACCTCACACAGTGGGATTAGATGCGGTACCGTATTTTTCTCTTATTATCGCATAATCGTCAGATATTTCCCTGCCTAACGCCTTTATCCTCGGATCATGTTCACGTGCAAGGTAAGTACTGCAAGTGAAGTTTCGAGGGCATTGCGCGCGGTATAGTTGCCGACATAGGGGTAAAGCAGGCGCGTTGCGCCATATTACCGATCTGCTCATGGATTGTTGAGTCGCATGGAATGGGCGCAATGTGATAGAAGTGTTGGTGTAGTAGGTAGAGATACAGTTGTCAAGTGGAACGAATGTCGCGAACTAGTGACGTCACGGCGCGAATACATGTGATATTCATTTTATATGGGTGAAATAGTTGCGTTTGCCCTCCGCGTCCACAAAGAACTTAGAATGAGTAACTCTTTATCTTGGGATTGTTGGCTTATAGTTTGAATCTCATAATAAATACTTTGCAGAATTATGAAAAGCCTATATGATCTCTGGGGCTCAGGTCTTACCTAGGTAGATATATTTAATTTCGATAGTTATTAGGTGTTTCGCCTATTCCTTGCGCCTTCGGTACTTGATAAAATGACAGCCTGAAGGCAGAGGAAAAGTGTGATTGCACTATTCTTAAATCCATATAGTTCATCGAGACACGCTGCTTACCTGCTGCAAGTGTCTGGAAATGATCTTGTCTTCTGCAACTGATTATCTAAAGTCAAAGTAACCATCTCATAAACTAAGCTGCAAATGTTCTGATTAGGTAGGTATTCGGTATCTATGACTGTATTACTAAAATTAGGATTCTAGATCCGCGATAACCTCAAAGTATGTATGATAATAAGGTGATACTGGAGTTACATCCAAATCTGGGTCTGGGATGTATATGTGCCAGTACTTAACCAAGAATTCCTCTTAAAACAGCACATTTAAGGCAGCATGAAAGTAAGAATCCAACAACCTGTCGTTGTTCCGATCAAATGAAGAATCAATGGTACCATGATTGAGCCAGGATCGGAATGAACGCCTCACTCCCTTTCTCAGTCCTATCGAAAGCCTCCACACCCAGCATTATCGTTATTATCAGCACATTAAAGCTTTTATCCAGACAAGTCATGCATGCTTTGGGTCATTTCAACTCTTTTCAGGAGGTAACTGGCTTGGCGCATTCTCGTTCGTGACACCGCTGTAGGCTGGCCGTGCCTGCATGCCGTCGAAGGGACCAGCCAGGTTCTCCGCGATGGCTTCGTCATAGCTGGGCGGAGCATCGTCATATGGAGGTGCCTCTTGTCCCGGAGCTAATTGTGGTGGATAGAGGGGATCATGAGCTGGCTGAGGAGGAACTTGGTTCGGAGTTTGAGAAGGCCGTTGCTGTTGAGCTGACACTGGGGCTGAGGAAACTGAGTTTTGCCTGGGTGGTAGACGGGGCGGGACATTATTCGTGAAGGTTGCACGCCCTGGCCGCGTTGATCTTGCGGATTCAACGAGTTCAGGAGGCGGTGTAATACCAGAATAAACCTCGACTTGCGCAAAGTGTAGCGGTAGGAGGATGACTGGGGGGCTCTTGTTGGTGATGCCCTTCTTTGGCTTGCCCCAGGCTAGACCTAGCTTCAACTCGAGCTCGTACCTCCTAGAAAGGTTGCAGGTGATGAATGAGGGTGCCACAGTGTTGGGAAGAGGCAAGTTCTTCCATACGTGGTCTGGAATCACCAACTCATTCCCAACTTCGTCAGCAGGCCCTGTAGTCAATGGGATGTTGATGTTGGGGTTTGACACGACAACCCATCGGTTGATCTTCTGGTTCTGGAGCTCAAGCGCGCGGACATCAGTGCGGCCTATAAGCTCCATCTGGAACGATACTAGATAGACTTGCTCTGGATTGTTGTTGAGCTTTTTGGCGATAAGCCGTAGTGGAACAGGCTTGTTGCAAGTCAAGACGCTTGGGTGGGGAAGCCGGGCTGAAATCTCGATTGCGGGAGCTGGCGCAATATCAGCAGATGGCTCTGGAGTAGAGGCTGACTTTGAATCTGAGCCGCTTCCAAAGTTGAAGAGAGAGGACCGCTTCTTCTCTGCCTGAGGGGTCATTGGCCGAAATGTGAAGGGACGACGAGCAAAGGCCTCCTGGGTTGTCGGCTTCGGCCGGGGCGGTTCAATAGGGAGGAACTTCAGACCGATCTGATACCGCCAGTTTTCCTTCAGCAATCCCGGTCTCTGGATTGTAACCTTGATGTAGTAGCGAATCTCTGCCTCCATAGGATATCCTGTTAATGAAGGAGGTAGTGTGCGGGTGACATGGCGAAGGTAGAGTTGCTTGCTACCATCCATGACCCTTACACCACCAATGCCAAACATTCCTCCGCCCCCAAAACCACCGACGTTGGCCATGCCGCCGATTTTCGACATAGCCATTGGGTCGCTGCATGCATTATTGATGGGGAGTTTGAACTTGAAAGGAAACTCGTGCTCGCCTGCTTGCAGGGGGTATGCACCATAAGGGTTAGAAGAGCTTGCATAATAGTCATCTGGAAAAACTTGTTGTAGTTTGTATAAGATTTTATGGTTCTCAGCTGCGGTGCTGCCAGGAGGCCGTTGAGGGCTAGGTTGTAGCCTGGCCATGTTCTGTGGATCAAAGGCATTCGGAGCTTGTAGAGCTGTTCCCGATTCCCCTTCGAGCTTGACAACAATGCTTCCGATCTGCTCGGCGCGGCTGAGACCCAGGATGATTCGGCCCTGTACCAAGTCGAGGTTGGTATAGAACTCAGGCTGGTTGTCCAGGGCTATTCGAATAGACATGACGGGCGAGAGTCGGGAAAGGACTAACAATGAAAAGATAAGAGGATCGCTGTGTGACGTGAGTGCTGGATCTGAGATTAACTTGGACCTAACAGTCCAATAGTGTTTGTCGTGAGCTGGAGTGAGTTGAGCGTGATATAGCTAGAGATCTCCACAAGAGACTCTTGGTTTGAAGGAGTGTTTCACGATTTGGCGTATCCTCTCGAATAGCTCCAAGATCTGTCAGTCTTGCATTCTCTGCATGGAGGAAACTTGATCGATTTTCATCGACTGTTTCTTAGACGGATTGTACGGGAAACATGGGTTTACTTAGTTGGATGTACGTCACCAAGGCTACTCAGCCTGAGCCAAGCCCCGCGATAGGCCTCACCGCACCTGACATGAAGGAGGGGTGACTGTGGCTAGGTCCCAATTAATTACTGATACCGTGGCGTATGTGGCTTGCATGGACGGATGCTTTTAGTGCCGCTTCTCCGACAAGCTTTTTGCTGTAAGGTAGGTAAGGTACTGTATGTAAGTACCTTACCTACTCCGTACAGATCTGGCAACTCGAGATTGTGGCCCTTGGACCTAATCCATCGAGGGCAATCTACCAAAAGTCCCTCAAGCAGGGGTACAAGTCGTCTCGTCTACCCAAGCTTTTCACGCAGTCACATCTTCGCTGTGCCGCGATGAGTTATAAGATGTTTGTTTGGTGGAGAAGGTTCGAAGATCAATTCCCTGGATATTGGAAATGCTGGTCTCATAGACAGGGCAGGGCAGGGCAGGGCAGGGCAAGAAGGGCAACGCCCAAGCCAAGCACGAGGTGCTTTGCAATGCAGGCAGATAGATGCACAGGGCGCATGAAGAGTGTTGGTGATGACAACTTTTCATGAGCGTCACCTGCTTGATCCAGCCTTGAAGCCTGTCGCAATCTCCACTATAACGTCCGACGAGATATCAACCAACACAGTTCTTTGACACATCCATCACATATCAACAACATGGAGGTGGATACAGACCGCAATGGGCACGATACTTTTGTCGGCATTGAGTTTGTCAGGGCAGGAAAGCCCGCGATCGACACCTCATAGCACTCACGGACCCTCTGCCGAGGTGTTTCAACGCCCACAATTTGGCGTGAGATGTGTGCTGCATCTCGAACCAACTGCATATCCAGGGTCCGCCTGTCGACTTGGTGTCTGTCGTTCGAGTTCTCCCGAGGTCGACGAGGGTTCCCTTTGAGTCAGGATCGGCATTGTTCACGCCGCGCTTCGCAACGCCAATTTACGAGCCCTGTACTCCGTACCCCGTCCATATGATTGATGTGTCCCGGAACCACTCCGCGCTTCTGCAGCACCTCGAAGCTTTGGCTTGTGACATGACCCATTCACTTCCGAGTCACATATGTACGTCGAGGTGCTTGCGACTTTATGGTAACTCCCGATCACCGCTCGCGTTAGAAGAGCTCGCGGAATGGCACCATGCGGGCCGCTTGCCGCCCAAAGACCATCAACGCCCCATTTCGCGCTCGTCGACCAATCGCGACAAGCCTGGCCGCTTTCGTGGCCTTGTACCGCTCGCCCGCTGCGTCTGCGCCGTGCGGGCTGCCGCCGTTTCCCCGCCTTTATCCCTTCGTGATTGGCACACTTAGCCCGCCCCCCATCTTAGCCAGCGCAACGACAACAAGATTTGTCTCTTGCAGGCAGAGATTGCTATGTATGATCCTGGGCTATACGATCCTGTCAGGCTCCGGATAAGTTACACCTTTTCTGTCCATGTCATGTTTTGAGTTGCATAGCCATTTCTGTGCAGTTGTCCTAGTCATGTCAACCCATCACAAACCTTGCAAAACCACTTTACGGATGCCATCCTGGCTTATGATTACAAGGATCCAACACCCAACAACAACAAGAACAACCACATGCTCTTTGATGCTTCATGCCCTAGATGCCATTCCTCTTCACTCTGGCACCTTGCAAGGACTGGATACCATGTAACTTTGTGCTCCTCAACGTCGATCATGACCAAGCTTGATTGGTCGTGTTGGCTCTTACATCAATTATGGTTCGAGCTTATGGCAGTTGTTCCTGTTCGCCATTGGACCGCCCAAAGTGCCGTTTAGTAAAGGCTGAATGAATACCCGTCTCACCCGTTGAGACCTTGTCTAGCTTGTCTTGACTGTTGCACTGCATCATGGCCCTCCCAACAGTGATCCCCCTCTCTGCAGCGC